CAAAGGCCCCTTGATAGAAATAAAGAAAAAGCCAGGCCCAAGTCTCTTTGATATTTGGGAAGGCAAGAGTTTATGGGCAGCTAGCTCCCAGGCCTCTTTTAGAGTGAGGGGATTCTGGCTGGAAAGAAGGAGGCATTTTCTCATACAGTGTGGGGCAAGGAAGACCACAGGCTTTGTGTGGGGCTGCAGAGTCCCAGGGAAAAAGGGCTTTGCTCCCAGTTATTTCTAGACTCAGTTTCTCAACCTCATTATCTCCCTGAGACCTTCAAAGGAGACTGATACCTAGTGAGTGCTTTGATTGCTTTAGGAGCCAGAGGCAAGCTTGATTGTCTGTTTATTTAGTTAATTTTGACAGCATCTCACTGTGTAACTCTGGCTGTCCTGGAACTCACTATGTAGGTAAGGCTGCCTGAACTTACAGAGATCTGCCTGCCTCTTCCCCCTGAGAGCTGGGATTAGCATCTTACTTGAGGCACAGCAAAGTAAATCAAAGACTGAAGGATTTGTGTCTCATGGGTTTGAGGTTTTTGTATGGTTGTGTTCATTCCACAATGAGCAAAATGAGAAGGTAGATTCACATTGCCTTTGGCCTCGGTATTCATCATTGCTGAGCTGGGCATGTCTTGGAGGTGTGATGCTGGTTGAGAGATATGAAACACTGGAGCCAACAGTAGGGACCACCAGACAGAGCATCACTTCTGAATTGTATTCCCTAACAGCTGAAAACATCAGACGGGGGGGGGGGGGAATGGAAACATCAGTCAGAGGGTGAAATCCTAAAATGTAAAAGACTTTGTAGCAGATGCAATGGACTCCACTGAACTTGTCTTCTTCCTCAAACCCCTTAAAAGCAAGTCCTGCATCTGCTCAGTGCTTTCCAAAGTACCAAGTGTTTTCACAGCACTCTCACTTATCCTCACATCAGCCCACACACGTTCTTGCTGTTTAGATTTCTTATGCACCCAAATGAGTTTCACTGAAAAAATGGCCCCAAACTTCCAATCTACTCATATATATATATTTTTTAAACTGACATCTTTAAGAAGTTCCCAAAGTTCCCAGGTTACCAGCGTGGGTAACATGTTTATTCTTCCTGCCCTGCCCTACTGGATAGCCACCAAGAGTCCTGTCTTTACTGTTGCTGTATGAAGCTCACAGCTCAGCTGTTAAAACAAACAAAGGCACAGAGGCTATGGTAAGTGTGATATTGTAGAGGATACAGGCTTTGGAACTAGCAAGCCCCAGAGTTACATTTTCGGTTAGTCACTTGGAAGGCCTTGTGACTATGGCCAGGACACCTAATCCCTGGAGACTGGATTTCTTCATTCATCTATAAAGTGTAGTCACAGAGCCCGTGACTAAGGCATTCTGAGGCATAAACACGAGAACACCCCCACAAGTGCGGCTCCTTGACTTCCCCCAGCTCTCCTTGAACACAGGACATATTAAATATACTTGGTAAAGACCCATGTAACTAAACAAAATGCCAGCCTCACCACCACTAGCCAACTTACAAGCAATACTGTCCTCGGCCAAAAGAAAGGAGACCTCAGGTGGGACGCGCTCCTGGATGAGTTTAGAGGGAGGCTTCCTAATTACATGAATGGTTAGCTACGTGCCTCCTCTATACACCGTGACAGCTGAGACAGTCAACTCTAACAAGAGTTTAAGTTCAGCTGGCCGTGGCGGCTCACACCTGTTATTCCCAGTACTTGGGAGGCTGAAGTAGGAGGATTACTTCAAGCTCCAGGACAGCCTGGGCTATAGAGTGATACCCTTTCTCAAAAACAAAACAAAACAAAACAAAATACCAAAAAAAACCCCAAAACTCACGAGTTCACACCGTATTTATGTACATATGTACACATATCACGATATATGCATATCTTAAGTTCATTTTCCTCATTCTTTTTTTTTTTTCAAACTAATTTTAGGCAAAAGCGAAAAGGAGCTAAGAAACTGGACTTATGTGAGACTGGAAAGCAAAAATAATTTTAATTGTATCTAGTTTTTTTTTAATTATTATGATTCAAGCTGAATTGCAATTCAGCCCTTTGGTTCCTCAAGACAAAGACAGTGCAGGGAGCTCAGCTGAGCTGCCCAGAGCAGGTGAAGCTCAGTGAATGTTGGCTGATGGTCTGGGGTGGTTTAGCGAGCCCAGGTCTCTCACTTTATCTCCGCTGTGGACTTCTTGGCAAACAGGGTGACGCTGTGGTGTGATCACGGAAAAAGCACTTGACCACTGTTCTGAAAGTGCAGTTTCCATCTCCATCACTTAACAGCCTGGTGACCTTGAACATGCCATTTAATCTGTTAAGTGTCTTCTCATCTGTAAAACGAGGAGCCTGGAATCCTCGGTTTGGAAGGTCTCTTTCGGCTGTAAGGTTCTGGAGCTTGAAGTCATTCCATTGCTGGTGTTTCTGTTTCTTCATTTATTCAAAGGCAGTAAGGGTAGAAACCTGTCTCAGAGCAGAGAGAAGAAATGTTAAGTATGTGCCTTAAAATTGCCTGGTTTTTTTTTTGTTGTTGTTGTTTTGTTTGTTTGTTTGAGACAGGGTTTCTCAACGTAACTGTGACTGTCCTGGAATTGATCTGTAGACCAGGCTCAAACGCCCAGGGATCTGCCTGCCTCTGCCTCATCCCAGTGCTGGAATTACAGACATAAGCCACCACTACCTGGCCAATGTCCTGTAACTAAAAGGAACTAGGAACTTAAAGGAACAGGGAATCAGTGTAAGGGACGGTGAAGCTCAATGAGTCCGTACCTCGAGGTCCAGCTCCAACCTAACCTTGTCCAGCTGTGGCAAGCTTCCTAACTTATTTCAGCTATGGTTTGTACATCTGTAAACTGGGGGGCTGTCAGCTGTTAGGCTGTGTCTTTTAATCTCCTCACATTCGGTTGAAAGCCAGCACAGTGTCAATGTTATGGAAAACTGCAGGGAGCTGCATAAATATAGTGGCATTGAGAACTGGAATAGTATAGATTTGGGAGTCACGATCCGAGACTGGTTTTCTGCTCTAATTTACTGACAGATGAAACTGAGCTAAACTGTTCATTCATACAGTTTTCCAAAGAGCAGTCAGTCACCTGGCACTACCTCAGTGTCTTCCAGTACAGGACATTTTCCACGAGGCCAAGTTGTTATTCACAGAGTAAGAATCACAAAATGTGTCTGTGATAGGTCACAGTGGTAGGAGCCTTTTATCTCAGCCCTTGTGAGGACTTGCTATGGGCAAACATGGCTTCCTTCTGCCCATCTGAGGGCCTGCCTCAGGGACCACCCTCAGAAGGTTTCCAGGAGATCTCAGCCTAGAACATAGCTCTCCAAATTTTGGCTCCTCTTTGGCTACCCAGGGGGCAACATGTGTCACGTACCAGCCAAAGGCACTGAGACACTTTCCCACCCTGTTACAAAGTACAAGCGGTTAACAAAAACACGCCATGGACTATTTTCCCCTGACAACTGTTGGAAAAGCCTGGCCCCCCACCAGACCTCTGTCCCCTGGCCAGAAGCAGAAGCAAGACGTTGTGAAGAGCACAGACAGCCCTTGATTTGTCTCAAGGAGTAGGGGCGGCCTCCTGCATTTTTCTGATTACAGGGCTTACAAAATACTGCTCTTTTTAGTTAGTTCCAGCTTTTACTCAGGTTGCATGTATGAAAACACAGTTATTGCAAAATCGCTCTTATAGCTTATTTTATTTGGGGGGTTATTTCGAGGGAAAGAGTAGATGCTGAAAATTATGAGGTCCCTTTCCCAACATCCTCACGGCCCTGCCACTGAGAACCCCTCTCTTGATCCTAGCAGCCTTTTGCTGGAAAGAACCGGTGTAGCTCCACTTTTCTTTCAGGGTGCAGACTTATTTTAAATCCCATTTTAACTGTGCTTAGTCTTCGAATACAACTGTCTCTTTCCCCAGCCTCTTTATGCACGTAGGTCAAGGTTATGGAGCTGTTTTACAAGAGTAATTGAAACAGAGGCCACAGAGGGGCAGCGCTGTGTCCTGAGTCCGACTCCTGTCTTCCTGGCTCTGGGGGCTGCGCAGCGTGTTAGTCCCAGAGATGGACACTGGAACTGCAGTTCCTGGGCAGTGAAGGAGTCAGTCTCTTGAAGCTCCGCATTTGCCATCAGAATGCGCTCTGCTCTAGAAGCTAAGGCGAAAGGGGTGTATTTGCATTCCGCCCGTCCTTACCCCCTACTCCCAACGCAAGCCCCAGTGTGCAACAGTGTGTGTAAAGTGTGTGTGTGTACACGCGCGCGCGTGCACCAAAGCCCTCTCGCGCAATGGAAAAACCCTAGTAAGACACCGCATCCTTTCTCCCACAAACAGACCCCTCCACGGACCCCAAGGCTGCAGACTTTTAGAAAGCCAACATGCCCCAGCCGGCAGTGGGTGCACCCAGCTCTCTGACTCTACAGAGGCGTAGAGAGTCTCCAAAATCCTTTTCCCGTCTTTTTCTTTTCCCTGTTCTCGCCCTGGGCGCCGCGATCAGGGTGCCACGAGCGATGGACCCCCAAGAGAGGCCTGTTTGCATCGATGACCAATGAAGAGGGTCCTGAGATGCGGGAGTCCCAGTGAACGCGGCAGCAGACTCTCGGGTGGAGGAATGGCGCCCTCCCCCGGCGAGCTGTTATGTCCCGCGTGGGCCCCAACGCATCCCTCACGCCCATCCGTCCCCTCACCCTTTAGAGTCCCGGGGTGTGCGTGGGGAGGGGGCTGCGGACGCGGCGGGTTTGCGGGCAGGAAGCGACGTTGACATTGAACTCTAGCTCGGGAACGCGCGCGCGTGTGTGAACGGTGGGGAGGGGGCCGGGCTCCGTAGCCGCTGCAAACCGGCTCAGGCGGGGTGCAGAGCCAGGCTGGTCCCTGCCGCCGCCCGCGGGAGCCGGAGCGCTGAAGCCATTCATGATTTTGGTGACGTTATTCTAAGAGTGGGCGAGGGGAGGCGGGGCCGCTCGCGGACAAGCCCCGCCCCGTCCCTATAAAGGCGGCTTCCCGGGCTCTTTGTGGGACCCGGAGCTCGGTGGAGAGCGGGGAGCTTGGTCTGCAGTGCCGACGCCGCCAGCAGCCGGGCTGTCTCGGAAAGGCGGACCGGCGATCGCCCAGCGCCCGCTCTCAGCTGCCCGCTGCTCTCCTCTGTGGCCCTGCCATCCTCCTTCAGGACGCAGTGACCTGTTTTTATTTTGATTGTTTTTTGTTTGTTTGTTTGCTTTTTTTTTTTTTTTTAAATCACAAGGGCGTGGGTCATCCTCCCCTAGGACTTCATGTCTGTATATTTCCCCATTCACTGGTGAGTATCCTGCGCCTGCGGCGGACGCCCGTTTAACCCAGGTGCCTGCGGGGCCCGGCAGCCTCCTAGTGCCGGCTCCGGGTGCGAGGCCACAGAGCGGCACGGACACCCAGCGCGGGCTGACCTGCCCTGCCGCCTCAGCCCCTGCAGGAGTCGACGTCAAGGTTGCAAAGCTGGGGGTTGGGGGGAGGCAGTGCTGAGAGCATCCAGACAAAGGAAGTGAACTCGAAACCTTCACTTAAGCGGCGGCCAGAGGGTGTGGATCTGGAGGCGGTGGGTGGGGAGAGCCTGGGGGGTCCCTCCTGAAGCCCCCCGAGGAAGCCCTGTCCTCTGAGGGCAGCAGGAGAGGAGCCCTGCCTGGTGCAGGGGGCTCCGGCTCACCCGGCCCCTCCCCTTTTCCTTTTTGTTTGCGCGTAAGTCTCGGCGCTGAGGACCGCTGCAGCGGGGCTGAGCTGGTGCAGCCTCTGGGTTTGCAGAGCTTGGGGAGGGGGAGACCGGGGTGACGCTCTTCCCGCAGGCAAAATCACAAGCAGCGGGGTTCACGCTACACCTTCTCAACCCCGTAGCCCCTAAAATCCAATGCGCCTTTCTGGAGGGCTGGGGCAGTGACAGATGGAAGAAGCCGGCCACAGCTGGGTTGGGGGCTGCAGAGGTTTGCCTCCAACCGGGGAGGATCAGGTTGTGTGTGTGTGTGTGGTGGTGTGTGTGTGTGTGGGGGGGGGGGTCAGAGCCGGGAAGGATACGGGGAGAGGCCCCTAGCTGCTGGAACGTGAGCGCCAGCTGCTTCTTCCTTCCTGCTGTGGGGTAGAGGAGGGGCCAGGACCACGGGCGTTTGTCTCCCCGTAGCGCGCTTTGCAGGTGCTGGCCTTGCCGAGCCAGGCCCGGGGTCCAAGGCAAGCTCTGAGCCTGGGAAAAGTGGGCCCTGACCACAGCGCTGCTCAGCTGAGCCCAGGAACTCTGAAAGTTCATGTTTCTTCTTTTTAACTTTTTGGGCCCGAGCCACAGTTCCAAGAAAGAACAGAAAGCCGCTACAGGAGGCGAAGAGCCTGGTTACAGCCCTGTGGATGTCTACTGGCTCCCCTCTTTGGGGGTTGGAGGCGGCTTTTCCAGACCCAGGGGCGGGGTGGGGTGATTGTCAAAGTCTAGGCTCTAAATGTAAACTTGCCCCCCCAAGCCAGTCAGGCTTTCTTAGTCTCTTGTCTCCTTCCCAGTTTAGAGAGGCCACGGACTTTCAAAAGAAAGTAAGAAAAAATCCAGACACCTGAAGCTAGTGTACCCCCTCATGTCCAGACAAGTTAGGTGCTATATGGGTGAGTCTTTGAAGAGTGGTGAAGGCCTTCCCCCAACTCCACCCCATCAAAATTTAGTAAGGTAGATGTTGGGAGCCCTCGGGGATATTACCCACCCCACTCCCACTCACCCATTAAGGTTTATGATTATTTTGTTAATTAGCACTTCCTGCGATGTCTGCAGCATTTCCCCCTCCAGATGTAACCATGAGATATGCATTATTAGCGATTATTAGCATCTTGGTAATAAACAGGGCTCCTGCGGCTCAGAGAGGTTCTATGATCTGTTTTTAAAAAGATGCTTGTCTTCCTGTTTTCTTAGATGTAGTTTCTCTAAAGCCTGCCCTGCCTTTTACCTTTTTAAAACTGTGCGTGGATGTGATAGCGAAAACACTGGGTGTTGTGTTGTGGGTACCCTGGATTCAGTATGTATGTTTGGGGCTATGCACACTGAACTCTGTGTATGCCCATGGCCAGTGCAAGGATAATGGGCTGTTTGTACCCTGCTTAGAGAATACAAAGTACTTTCACATGTCAGCCATTGGTAGGCCAACTTGGCCCCTCTGGAAATTTCCTTGCACTCAGAATCTGTGTGTCCTTAAGGTTTTAATCCTGGGATGTTTTTTCATGCTGGGAGCTAGTAGCAGCTGCTGCTAGCACCACAGAAGTGGGTAGGATGGCAGAGGTGACGCTTACAGAAAAGCTGACCTCTTGGGGTGGGACATTTTGCCTAAAGGGGCACTAGACAGACAGAGACAGTTAGGAAGACACCATGATTAGACTCTGTTTCCCTGAGGCTGGACTGTTACTGTTATTATGTAATTCTACTGTGAAGTTCCCAGTGGAAATTCATGGGCAAGATTACTCTTATCATTAGTGGGAGGATAAAGAAAAACCTAGCTGCATTCATTTCATATAGACACACAGACTCCTCTCTCCCCCTCCTCTATGTGTGTGTAGAAGTGTATGTGTGTGTGTGTGTGTGGGGGGGGGGGTTTTTTATTTTTTTTTTTTTTTTTTTTTTTTTAAAGAAAATCCAAGCTTGCTTTGTGTAAGGGTTGGAGGCAAGGGAAGAAGTTGCAGAGAGCAGGCTTTGTTTTGTCGCTGGTCTTTGGAGATGAGCAAGCCACAGTGCTGCCAGCTTGAGCTTGCTTTGCTGTGAGCCCTTTGAGCATCTCTCGTCCAGTCTTTAGCCAGTCCCATGATCTCAGGGCCACGAAGTCACTAAGGGAAGGAATGTGCCCGTGGGAACACGTGCTGACTTCTGGTGTGGATTTCTCCACAGCCCTGACTATCTGAGATCGGCTGAGATGACTGAGGTGATGATGAACACCCCATCCATGGAAGAGATTGGCCTCAGCCCCCGGAAGGATGGCCTTTCCTACCAGGTGAGTTCAAACTTGGAGCCTTGTGAGTTTTCACTGGGACTGGAATTAGTCTTGGTTTGGGGATCCACGTTTCACCTGTGAGAGTTTGGGGAATCCAATATCATCTGTAAGAGCTGTGTCACCTTGAGAAATCCTTGACTGCCAGTGAGCCTCAGTTTCTTCGTTTGTAAAATGAGGTGGCAGTGGTCCACATCCTATAGGATTGTGATGAAGAGTCAACACAATGAGAGGTTCAAGGCATTTACAGTGCGTGGGACGCCGAGGGGTTCAGTAAACATTAATGACATCATTAGCTAGCCATGACCATTCTCCCAATAACAGCGGACTGGGCCTCCCCAGCCAGGCGTCATGCAGTAAAATAATGTAGCTGTGGGAAAGGGTGGCCTGAGGGGGTATGGCTACCTGTCTTCTTCGGGTGACAACCAACTGGCTTGGTTCAGAGTTCATGCTTCAACTCTACAGAGCTGAAGAGGACACTCCCTCAGCAATGATGATGCTAGAATATAGCCTAGGGATCATCCTGTCAAGTGGAGATAAATATAGAGTGGAAGGCCTCCTGTGTAATTCTTTAAGTGTGGCGAAGCTTCACTTCACCATGATGGGGAGGTGTGGAGGGGTTGGGGGATATCATCCCAGACAGCAAGAGAGCACCGTTGCTTACCTCTGGGATAGGCAACTGGATCACCAGAGAGTCCCTAGATTGCCAGTTTGGGAAGAGAGAAGTATCTGTAAGGGGATATTTTGAGGGTGAGCATAGTGTATACAGTGGCTAGCCCAGGCAGATGAACGGAGCATGGAGTACAAAAACACTTCATGTACATTGCTTTGTTCGCTCTACGTTGTCACTCCCAAAGGAATGCCAGCTCGCCTCTACACAGAGACCCTATCCTGCCCGTATTTGGGGACTCGGCTCTCTACTCCTGATGGTTTTGATCTTCTGACATATGCTGTGTCTTCACGCTGGGCTAGTTCTGGCCTGAGTCTGGACCTCCTCCAGCTGCTTGTTCCTTAGAGCTGTTTCAGGGACACTTATTCTGTAAGGAATGAAACAAATAGAAAAGCTTGGATGGGTGCCACGTGACAGGAGGGGAGTAATCAAAGAGAAGCCTAGATAAAAGTTAATGTTGGGAACATGCCTTCAGATACCAGACATGCTTGGGAGATTCAGGAGGTCCTTTGTTCTGTGTCAACATATCAGGCCTCACTTGCTAGCTGCAAATAAACATCCCATTGGCCTTCAGGGAGTGAGGGGCCTAAGGAAAAAAAAAAAAAAAAGGCCTTTCAAGCCTGTTCTAACCTTCTTTCCCTGGAGAAAGGCTGAGGAAGGCAACACTGGGCCCCATGGCCAGGTGGGAGATTCGGAAGTTTCCGGGCCTGCCGAGGTAGTTTTGGATAGCAGTTTCCAAGCCCATGAGTCACGCTCAATGTCTTGGTTACAGGTGAGGGTGCATTTCACTTCTGGGTTGTAGATTTCCACCACAGAACCTTTCTAGACGTAGTTTTCTCTCTCTCTCTCTCTCTCTCTCTCTCTGTGTGTGTGTGTGTGTGTGTGTGTATTATTTTTTAAACATGTCCCAGGCAAAAGAGTCAGGCAGTCTTCTCAGACCCTCAGAGAACATGGTGATGGAGACGTACCCCAGGTAACCATGGAGGAAGGGACTATCATGCTAGATGAAAAGGCCTGAATGAGGCTGAGGTGGCTGGAGAAAAATAAAAGCATTTCTGGGTTCTTACAATACAACACTGGATACTTCCAAAAACAAAACAAAACACCTTCAAGGCTTTCTTTCTCATCCCGCTGTAGTCAGGGCCTAGTTCCCAAAGCCCCCAGGAAACCTACCTCTGTCCCCAGGATGGGGACCACTGCCCTGTGTCCAAATATCTTACCTGGAACTCTTTGTCATAGATGATTTCAGAAAAGACTCTTGGTTGTCTGGTGAAGAGAAACGGGAAACTAAAAATGTTTAGCAAAGCAGCATTTACTAGGCACTTTCTACTTTTAACCTGATATACTGGTTGCTGCATCCATGGCCTAGGGCTTATAGAAACCAGCATGTACATGTACTTCTGGAATATATGCAGCTTGGCCAAAACATATGAACATTTATGTGAACTCACAGAATCTGAGATGTCATGAAACAGAATCAGCAAGGGCTGGGCTTTGAAGGAAAATGAGAGCCTTGATGGGGTAACCCCATCTCCCACATGTAATTCTGCTGCAGCTTCAGATACCCCTTGGCTGCCTGTTTATGCAAAGTATGGGGCTCTGCTGTGAACTGGTCTGGCAACTATCAAGTGATGGGTACTCTCTGGGCCCCCACAAAGCTGGTGTTGTCAAATTAAAAGCTTTCCCACCAACGCCCTGGGGATTGGCTGGGCCTGCTTCTTGGCTAAAGCCTGTTTGTCCTGCATGCTTGGGCTTCTGCTTGGAGCTAAGGGTGGGAACTCGGTGCTCTGTTCTTGGCTTTACTCCTGAGGATAATAATAGTATGTGGCTTTTACTGAGACCTGCTTTTCCAAGGAACGAAGCAAGGGCAGGAGACATCAATCTGGGCTTGGCAGATGAAATAGAATCTCAGGCTTGTGATTTGACCTTGAAACAAGGTCATCATATAAGCGGCCCATTAGACTTTTAAGCCATCCCCCTAGCTTCCAGACACACCTAGAGTTAGGCTTTCCTGAGTTCTCTGTATTGTATATGGCCATTCTTTCAATGCCTGTGGAACTTTGTACGCTCCAATGATGCCGTGATGGGTTTTCAGCACTTGGGTACCACATTACCTTCCCATTTCCAGGTCTTTAGTGGCAGTGGTGCCTTGCTATCAACTTTGTATCCTCTAGCCATCATCCTTTCCTGACTCGTGTACCTATATGCTTACAGAGAAGGTGTGAAGGGGAAGAGTCTCTTGATTTGGAATTAGCCACCTTTACCTCTGTGATAGCCTCTGAATGTATGTCCCACTGTAGGTCCCACTGAATTTATGTCCATTTTATCCCCCAAAGGACTCAGTCTAGCCCTCTTATTGTTGTTAAGAAACCCATACCAATAGTTTTGTGTTTTGTTTTACTTTATTTTATTTTGAGACAGGGTCTCGTGTATCCTAGACTAGCAGGGGATTAAGATTTTAATCCTCTTTCAGCCACCTCTCAAGTGCTGGGATTATAAAACAGAGTCCTATGCCCAGTCTATGTAGTGCTGGGGCTCAAACCTGGGGCCTCACGTCAGGCATGCACCGTACCAACTCAGCTACATCCTCAGCTCATACCATTTTGTGGGCATGTATCAGAATCTGGAGCCAGTGCCTAGCTTTGTCTCCATATCAATCTGGAGAGTGATTCAAATGAGTGAAACCCACGTAACACATTTATTTGTCAGGAATTATCACACCCCATAGGGTGGGTGAGTGGTTACTAGAAAGCCTAGTACATTTAGCTCAGGCTGTGGGTGGCAGCAAGTTCTTGGAGCCATGTGGAAGGGTCTCCGTGAGGATATTTATGTCCTGAAGGGCTGTAGCTCCATCCCTATGCCTCATCTGTGGGTTTCCTGATCAGTCACCAGCCTATGGGACAGGAATGTCTGCCATCCAGTGAAGAGAAGTCACTGGCTGCCTGGGAGAGCCTGCTCTTTCTATGGGCCTACTGCTGTAAGAATGGCTATCTGTGAGGGTCTCCTCTCAAATTAGCCAGACTTCTGTATAGGGACGGGTTCTAGCAATTTCCCTATGAGTTCTTATACTGATGAACCCCAAGGGGCCCTGGCATTTCGGCCTTACCCCCTACCTTCTCCTGGTAGAGTGCACACAGACTGTCCTATTTTTATCACTGTGCTTATGTCTACACATAGTTTTTGGTACCCTTACATTTAAACCTGTTCCTTCCTCGCTTCTGGTCCGAGGTTTGATACCTTTTCTTTCCTTAGGCTCCTTTCACTTTTATGTCATTTATTTATAGGCAAGGCATCTCGCTCAGGCTGGCTTAGAACTCTCTGCAGAGCTGAGGGTGACCTTAAGCTTTTGATGGTCTCACCCCAAGTGCTGGGGTAACAAGCTCTGTCACCATGTCCTGCCTTTGTGGTGCTGGAGCCCCCTACACTCTAGACTAGCACTCTGCCAACTGAGCTACACTTGCAGCCCCTCCCAAGGCTTCTTTGGTTGCTGCTGCTAGTCCACCTGCTGTTACTTTTGGTCATGCCTGCCTGCCTTTGACATCATCTCTCAGTCAGACAGATACCTAGGCTCTGCTTTCCAGAGGGTCATTCTGAAACACACACGCACGCACGCACGCATGCACGCACGTGCCCTGTGCTTTCCTTTTGATCTAGAGAGCTAAGAGCATCCTGCATCTTCCCTTCATCATCTCAGGGTAAAGAGAGGGGTGGTGGTGGGTTGACCTTTCTTGTCACCCCTTACTGTTTGCTTCTTGCAGGCTCAGAGCCTTAGTTGTACCTCTGTCGTGGAGAGAGGACTGGAAGACTCAAAGGCTGTGCATGACACTGTCCTGAAGGTTCCATGGTCACCAGCAAATCATCTTTCACAAACATCAGACTTTAAAAAAACTTCGGTTGTCTCCAGAGAGACATAAAGCTAAAATCCCAAAAGTCTGTGCAGGGGATGGCCTGCCAGAGACATGACACATTGCTGGAGTCATGGCAAGTGTTTTTTCTCCTGACCCTCCTTCCACTACTCTCATAATGATGAAATGCACAGCAGTCATCTGTACATTGGATTTAGAAGCATGAGCTGCCTCCTCTGAGTGACACTGGCTCTCTCTAAGCCACCCCACATCCTTACACTGCAAGTCTTCTTTGCAGGAGCCCAGCCCCTTCCCTTCTATGTTAGAAGCCTAGACACAAAGGTCATGTTCACTGTTGTGGAAAGTCCCTGGATTAGGGGCTGCAGATGGCTGGATTTGTTCCCATGGGAGACTTCTTCTTCTTCTTCTTCTTCTTCCCTACCCCCATGGGCACAACAGTGTGTTTGTGCCTGGCCATACAGAGAGCA